TGGTTATTCCGACGTTTCTGTTCCTGTCGATCTCCACGCCGTGGAGTTCGTATCGAATCTCGTCGAACATGAACGCCACGCAATTGTTGTCCATCGTCGTATCCGAATCCTTTTCCGGAACGCCGTCGGAGAGTACTCCCTCGATGTACAGAAAACTTTCGCAGGGTAGAGTGTACAGATCCTGCTGTTGTATTGGAATTCGTATTTCGTCGCTGTGCCCGAACGTGGTATTGGCATATGGATTGTAAGTGTGTGTCTCGATCTTGACGATGCGATCGTCGAAGATCGGCTCACCTCCGATACTCAGGATGTCGGTCATGATCGTTTTTCACGACGAATCCCAGAGATCGTAGAAAAGCGACGTTTGCAGCGCTCAGTCCGTTTTTATTCTTTTTCTTCTTCTCTCTTACAATCGGTTTGCGCGTTCCTTTCGTCGGAGCACCGAACGATAACGTTCGCGGTGCAATGACAACATAAGTATATAATAAAAACATTAAATCATTAAATACAAACAGTATATATTCAATTTATAACATCCTGTAGAATTACGAAGATTTTCCTATATTTTTTATCATTTTATCTAAAAAAATAACTTTATCATAGGAGTCGCCAAAATTCCTTTTAAGGACTTTCATTTTAACCCAAAACGAAGCTTTTCACGAAGTTTCATCGAAATCGGAGGAGGGCCGTTTTCGGAAGTCTACCCAATAAAGTTTAAACAAATTAATTTTGTAATTCTGAGGTTGAATTCGTAATCAGCTATCAAAAATCATGAAAATTATATTCATTTCGCTTGATAACCTTTCGTTAATTCCTTTAAATAAAGATATAGAAGATATTATACTTTAAGTTAAAAAAATAATTGTAAATTATTATTAACAATTTGGATCTAAAAGATATTACTTTGAAGACCTATGTTTTTTCTATGTAATTGTATCCACAGATTTTTAAATAAAAATTTATAAAACATCTTACTTTGAGATAATTTGTTTAAACAAATTAATTTCGAAATTTAAAGCTTGAATTTGTTATTAGCGACTTGAAACATAGTTAAAATGATATCCATCTCGGTTAAATTATACCCTAGAAGCTTGTGTCTATGAAAGGATTACCGTTTTTTGCATGAATTTCATATTTACTGGATTGCACTCTATGTTTAACAATTTTCGTTGTGCGACAAATATATTTCCGCAGTACTGCATTAATGCACAAGTCTTCCTGAGCATTTAAAAAAAAAATCAACGGGATATCTTAAAAATTGTGCTGTCACAAGAATTTTGTCCAAAAACAGCACGGAATCCCACTGTGCGTCGTGCCGCCGAGCGAGGCGCTCCCCGGTTCGATATTCGTGTTCGACGACGTGGCCTGTGACAAACAGGACGCAGGGAGTACTTTGCCATGGGTCGACATTCGAATATCGATTGTTTTTACCTCTGTTAAACGTACGCTAAAGTATCGAAGCATCTAATACGCGACAATGCGAATCTGTTGATCCTGTTTAGACAAGACGGAACTAATCTAAAACACGTGTACGACAATCACGTGAGCCCCGATATGTCGTATGAAGATTTCTGCGCGTTGTGTCGCGAGTGTTGGCAGCGCAGGTACGGGTTCGTGGTGATAGACAAGGACAGCGCGCTACAAAACGGCAGATACAGACGAAGATTCAACGACTTTGCCGTACTGTAGAGCGATCAGTAGCTGTCGAACGTTCCGAGAGCGATGAGCGACGCGAAAGACACCGTTGACCGAGAGAAGACCGCGCGGCAGATCGCTAAAACGCGCGCGTCGATACGCAGAAAATACAGAGCGTTGAAAACCGGCAGTATGGAGAACGAGATGGCTCTCGAGAGACAATTCAAACCGATCGTCGACCTGTTGAAACAAATCGTCGAACACGTCGAAAGAAGCGAATTCAAGAACGACAATGCGGCGGCGGCGACGACGAAAGGTTTCGTTATTAAAAAGAAACGCGAGCAAAGCGAAGACGACGACGACGATAACAACGAAGAAAAAGTCGCGCAAAAAATAATATCGAGACCTAAGAAGAAAAAACAAACGAGCGCCGAGTCAGAGATTGTATAGGAACTGAGTATCGAACCTTTTATTCGAAGGGAAGGAAAGAACGATGCCTTAATTGCTTAATGAATCAATTATACTTTATTTGGCAGAATACCAACATTCGTTGCACGGGTAAGGAAAATTGCCAAAAACCTTACCAGTATTCATAAAATAAAAGTACAATGTTTATATCATTTTATAACAAAATCAAAGTATTACATTCGGTTGTGCAGAAATGCAGCAATTAATGTTTATCTCAATTAGACAATGTCAAGTAATTTAAACGAAATCAAATTAATGCACAATATAATAAACAGTCATAAACATATGCAAAGAACGTAAATCATACCAGAACAATGCAGTAAAGGATTATATTGAATTGTTGTCATTTATGATTGAAGTTTTTCTCTGTTACTTTTTATCAGATATTTAATCTTTCTTTTACCAATCAAACTACTAAGTTCAAGTAATGTTTCAGCATAGAACGTCAAATGAGAATATAATTTCTGAAAGGAAAGATCATGTTTAGAATTCGATACGTTATAATAGTGTATTGTACTTCAATCATTATTGACCTGGATAAACTTGTATAAGTTGAATATAGACTAATATCGCAAATTATTACCAAAATATATACAGAAAAACACGCAAGAAATAGAATAATAATAATTACGGTTAATAAAGGAATATAGTTTCTCGAACTGAAAATTTCGACAGTATTTACTATTTGTATCATCCGATAATAATATCTATATTGACTTTAGTTACGTTAAGTACACGCTATATGTATTATGCTTAGGATACGCAATGTCGTACTAGTTTAACACGGTATATCACGCTCAAATCACGCGATGTTTCACGCCTCAGATATTCCGTTGTCACGCGCCGAACACGCTATGTGTTATACGGATAGAAGCACGAATAGCCTTATACTATTCGTCTTCTGGAAAGTTCACGAAGGAACTGAGCTCTCGAGAAAAGACCTTTCGATCGTATTAATTTATGCGCGCCACAAAATGGAATCGTGAAAATCTCACGATATTCTCAGTAACCAATATCCGAGGATTAGGCTTTGTAAAGCCTGAATATAATGTCAACCCAAGAACGGTTTTACCAAATAAAATGATAAGGTTACCTTGCAATTAGCCACAATTAGGCTTGTTCCAGAATAAAATAACTGGAATTCTCTCATCAGAAGTATACTTATCAAGTACAAAGACGACGCAAGGGATCCTCGTCCTTCCAAAATTATATCTCGTGATTAATGGCCGCCCTCATCTTCAGTATCGGAATTCCCTCGTTTCCTCTTCAGCAGTCAGAAAGTCCAGAGACAAGGTTTCGTCTTTCCCAAATAATGATGTAGCTGTATATAACAGCTCTGCTTCCTCAGAAGCCGAAATATTACGGATTTTACGATTATAGAAAGTAGCGTATCTACGCAATATCAAAGCGATAACTAACATGCTCACTCGTTGAGCGTCCGAAAAGAAGTGACGACGAGAACGTCGTTGTTTGCGCGGTAAAATCAGGGAACGCCTGCGCGTCAGCGTTGCGCACGAATATAGAAAGAAACACGACGCATGCGTTAAATTGGACGGATGCCTCGCAGCGCGACAACAACAGAAACGCTGCCCGATAGATAGCGCGCTTACGGGAGGTCGATAACAAATAAATCTATCTATAGATTTCTCTCTGCTCATGGCTCTGTTTTACCCCAGGTAGCTCTGCTCGTCCTTACTCTCAATTCGAATAAATGCTAGATTCTGAACATCATCCGTAATGTGTCCACACGTTTTCGGATATTGCGAACGACTGACTTGTCTATTCGGTCGCGCATCGCGATCGAGGCTTTCGCGCCCCCCACTCCTTGTTTACGCTTCGCGCTCCGAAATTCCGCGCGTGCCACCTGTCGCACATGTGTCGCACATGTGTCGCGCTCCAAATTCTCGCACGTACTTTCTAAACAGAGATGCTCCCGATCCACTCCACGCCTCTGAAACCGCGAAAATTATTGCTGCACGAGCGGATGGGGGAGGAGCTGGAGGTTTTCGCGTCGCCGTTGCCCTTCCCCGAAACACCCGTAAGGGACGTTCTACAAACGCCGCAGAATCACGAGGAACTGCACAGTCAATTGGGTCCGTTGGGACAAAGATATATGTGCGCTTTTCTAAACGGGGACCCACAAAATGAATTCGATATCGTTTACGGTGTGTACGTCGGGAATGACGGCACGATGCTCGGTGACAAACGGTTCAAGGTGAACGCGGACGATTCCGTGATCGTGGACGGAGTGAGATACACGGGCACGCCCGGCTTGTACGAATTAATCTTCAAGAGATATCCCGATGGTACAATTTACACCGAGGACGACATGCAAAAGTACAGAAATATACTGTTAGCGACAAACGCTTACAGACGCTACAGACGCTTACAGACGCGATTATAATGCTCTTAACTTCATAATGGGCAACAGGGGACAAAAATACACGAAAATCATCGCTCCGTTGGTATCGCGCGGTAGAATCGGTAGTAATAGAAAGGGCGCTGGCGTGACCAGATTACGGTCGATTATGAAATTGAACGACAATACAATGGATTACGTTTATTGGGACGATCCTAACGAATTGGTGGATCGTCTGCGATTACTCAATAATCGAGTCGATAATCGAAGAGCTTCGCGAGATCGGATTGATTATAAATTGAGCTGTCGCGTCGATCGCGACGGCAGTACGTTTCTCGACAAGAGATCGGCGCAATGTCGGTGAACAAATTCGGAATGTCTCTGAGGAAACGCGGCGACGGCGGCGGATTCGCGACGGAAAGATCGCGATTCTCTATCGACTCCCTGCGGAACTACGTACGAGACAGCGCGCTTTGCTTGAACAAGGATTTCTACGACGCGAGGGAGCGCAAGCTACGACGTCTAGCCGTTGTCTAGCCTAGAACAGATCTATCTCGACGTCTTTCGTAGTCGTCGTTGCTATCGTCGTCGTCGTTGTGGTAGTCGTCGGTGTCGTCGTCGTTATTACTTTTGGAACTTTAGCGTTTTCTTTAGCGCCGTACAGATGTTGAATAGAAAAAACGTCCTCTAGAGTAAATTGAACGGGAAATGTCTTCTCAGGTACGAACGCGAACATCACTGAATCTTCGCGGAAGGTGTGCGGCAAGCCTAAAGCGTGACCGATCTCGAGCGTCAACGTCTGAAGTAAATTGTACGTCCCCGGGGGATTCTTAGTCAGCTGTATGTGCCACGTCTCCGCTTTGTCTACGTGCACCTCCGAGACGAAATTGGGGTCTCCGGTAAGAAAGAACGCGTGAGCGACATCTCCGTTAGGACCTCTGAACGCAGACGAACACGGTTCGTTTCGTCGAGAGTATAGCATCGCGTGACGCCCCTCACGAAACGATATCAAAATATCGGGATTCAGCGAATCGCGCTCGAACGTCAATGACGAATTCGCTGCCCACAGATCGAACGCGGCTCGGGTCGTTTTCAAGATTATGTCGTTGATCAGATGAAAGTTCCATTTGAGATGTTTCCTCGGCCATTTGTCCGAAAGCGGAGCGAACGTGCGCTTCGAAATGTCCTCGACGCCGCATCGCGGTTTACCCATTCGATTCAGCGTCTCTTCGTTTAATTCGCCGTCGCCTGGTAGTCGATAGAATTCTTGAAACAGTGAGACGGTTCGATGTAACTCCTACGTAGTGTTGTAGGACGATGAAAATCGCTGTGCACCGCTGTTATCCAGATACCTATATTTTTGCAGATAACTGATCGCAATCTCATTTTCACTCGATTTACAATTTACCGTGACGACGATAATAATCGCGCACATAATTACGCGCGCGAGCAACATCGTCGAGAGATAACGATACGTTTCCCACCTCGACCCCTTGACCCTCGAGAAGCGGTAAGCGTCACCGCCCGATCGAAGCGCGAGTGACCGACGTAACGAGCGATGCGTTCCTTTTTTTTTAGCGATCGCGACGCGGGTGGGAGGTTTCGGTAAAGGTGTTAATTCGTGAAAGGTTGAAAATGAGCGTCGACAAGGCAAACGTGACGATTTCGCTTTGACGTTAGCGCCAATGATGAAGTTGCATTTGTATAATATCCACCATCGTCCCGGTACAATGAAACATAGACTTTAAACAAAACATTATTAAGAAGTACATATTCGCAATATATTATATATATTTATTTAAACGCAGCGTAATATCTTCAAGTAATAATATTTCATGATACATATATAAATACAAGATATTAATTCTGAAGATTCGGTATTTGATATCGCGACGCGGGTGAGAGGTCATTCGGAAATTGATATCGCGACGCGAATGAGAAGTTTATTATGTAGTCACATTAATTTACATGCCTTATAATAGACATATATATATATTTATTAACCCTTCGTAAGACAACGTTATTTGAGATCTTCAAAAACATTATTAAGAAGTACATATTCGCAAGTAATAATAATATTTCATGGAAACATATATATATATATATAAATACAAGATATTAATTCTGAAGATTCGGTATTTGATATCGCGACGTAAATAAGAAGTCATTCGGAAATTGATATCGCGACGCGAATGAAAAGTTTATTATGTAAACACATTAATTTACATGCTAAGTCTGTAAAAATGTAAGCAGAAATAGATATCGCGACGCGGGTGAAAGGTTTTCTATATATATATATATATACATATATATATATATATACTTATATGTGAAATTTGAGGCTTTATCTTTATATATTAAAATTTTATGTGATAATGTAGGAAAAACAGAAACTTAAGATCTTTATATATTAAAATTTCATGTGATAATGTAGGGAAAACAGGAACTTACGTTCGAAGATAAAATCTGTTTTCACATTTTTACCGTAAAAATGATATCTCTTTAATAAGTATATAAAAAGTCTCAATTTGTGAGCTATCGTTAAAGTCGTTTTTTGCAATTAAAGACTTAAAACTGTTAATGGAAACCTGCGACATGTTAAGTAAAGACGTTGAAAATCTAGCTACTACTGCAACATCAGTGGCGGAAAGCGTCGCGAAAGTGTACGCTGTGGTCAAACACATGCGTAAAATTACGCCCAAATGTATTAAATTACAATACAACATGGACGACAAAGATGACTTATTCCAAAATGTGTAAGTACAATCTTTTTTGTTTTCACTCGCAAACAGACGGACGCGATTAATGTTTTTTTTGTTTATCAGACACAGATGTATAGATGTCATCGGTGAACTACAAAAAGGAGTATTGTCACGTCTGACGGTATAATCACCGCTATATTCCACCCGCATAAATTTTTCGATTTTCTAGAAGTCCCCAGCATCTGAAAACAATATTATATATAACAATCAATCTTTAAATTAACTGTCACAACAAACACTCAGCTGATGCGAACACGCGTTCTTAAAGTAGTAGACATAAGCCTAGAGAACATGGCTGCCTTAAGGTACCCTTTCAAGCTTAAGCCCCATTTTCATGAATCACACTATAAACTTTTGGACAATTGCTTGTTAAAATTCCCCAGAATCACTAAAATTGATCGTAAATGAATATTACAAGTTTTATGAGATCTTTTATGCAATATAAATTCAATTCAACACACGAATAAATACATGTTCCATAAGAATAAACTCAGAAAATTAAAATAAAATATAAATAAATTAATTAAAAGTAAATTATTCATAAGAACATAACCTTTTATGCCTAAGGAACATTATCACGATAAAATAATAATTATCTCATTAACATTTTTTCAAACATGATTGTTATAAACAATTAAATTATATTATTAACAGACCTAGTTAATGTGATTACTGGACCTATCACAAAAAGTCAAATAACTTTTGATTATAAACCATTATTGTATCTCTCAAAATAAACTAATTAACAATAAAATTTATCATAAAAATATTATTAAAGATGATAAATAAAATCACTGCAGATACTCAGCAGAGCATGTCAAATAACCTCACAAAAACCCCACATCATATCTCTTCTTAATTCCAAGATATAAGTAAAAATTATGGAAATCCATAAAACACAGAAATTTTAAACAACCTAAAATAATGCCCTTAATTATCTGAACACAACAAAAGAAACCCCATCTTTTTATCTCTTACCGTTCTCGAGTTATAAATTATTAAAGTTTCACATCCGCCATTTTGAATTTCCTACCCTTTAAACTTACAAAGACCAAATCACTTTTACATTAATATTTTAGTCTTTTATACATTTTAAAGCTGAAAAATTTCATTTCTAAACAAAAATTTTGACACTTAATTATTATGATAAAAATGGAATCTCTCATACTCCTAAACACCAGTAACGTTAACGCCGATTTTTTATTTAAATTAATTAAACTAATAAATGAGATTTAACGAGATTTATTAAGTTTCTCTTCATTTGCCCTTCTTTGACGCTCCGAGAAGCTTTCTATTTTCACCAGGCGGCCCTAGCGAAAAACGAAGCACGTAAGAAGCGGAAATTGAGACATTGAAGCGTTGAACTGTTTGCGAAAACCCATACGAATTTTGACCGCGCACATAAACTCTGCATTAGTACACCTACAAAAAATGATAATAACTTTAATTTCTGCAATTGTTTATTTACGAAATATTTATAACAATAAAATAAAGTGGCTCATAAAAAAATTATTTCATTGTAGAATTAAAACCGTACGACTAAGGAGAGCTTAACAATATCAATATGTAAATTAAAAAGTACCAATTTATTTAATTAATAATTTGTTATTAACAAATACATATATTAACAATAAAATTTTCCAATGCTATATTATACTTTAGTGAAAGTTCTGCAATATGTTTCCTATACACTCCCATCAAATTCCCAACCATTTGCGAGATATAAAAATAATAAAAATCTTAATATATATATATACAATTTAATTTCATTAATTTCCTGTACTAATGAGAATGCTGACCATTTCTATCTGTACGATATATTATTAACCTGATATTAGAATCATTATTAACACCGCTAACATCACTTTTATTAATATTACTATTAACAAATATATATACTTACCAAAATTAATATAAATATCGAATGTCAAGCGCCGAAGCATTACTCACGAATTCGAGAAAGATAAAATTGTATTATGCGCAGCATAAGGAACACGAATCCGAGCGAGATGCGAGTATTGTATGATCTGAAAGAAAGAAAGAGAGAGTCAGATATACCATATTAACTATTAGACAAAGAGAGCAATATCTCTTATACTTTAGACATACTAATAATGACTTTAATTGTACTATTAAATTATTCTACTGTATGTAAAGTATGTCTAAAGAAATCTAAATAATATTCAACATATATTTGCACCTTTTACGATTCAAATATTAAATATTTTCTTCATGATAAAAGTCATATTAAAATTTAATAATGAAATTTAATAATGAAAGGAAGTATCGCTCTCAATACAAATCGCCGTTAGACTAGAGAATAAAAATAGAATTCAGACGAGTCACCTGTATGACTCATTCGAGTGAATCTAGTCTTCGCAAGACCATATATGGACATGTCGAAGCAGAACGCCACGCATGACCATATAAGGTAATGAATTTCAAGACACCACCCTATGACTCATTGCTGGCAAGCGAGCCACACCCCTAGAAGTAGACTCACATCCGCTAGACAACGCCTTATGACTCATTGTAACAAGGTGCGGTCACCTCCCACTACCGTTTCCAAAATTGTATAAAAGCAGAATCTTTCACCCTCTCGACGGAGAGTGTGGAACGAGCCAGGAAAGGTCACATATCTTATACTTGTTCCATCCTCCCACATAAACCACTTGTATCGTAAAAGTTCTACAATAAATATCATACTTTTTTTATATCAAAAGAAAGATAAAGATTATTGAAGATTATTGAATTACCTACCTTCGACGGATCCAAGGAGCCATAATCTACATCGCCGACCAACAGCTAATTATCCTGGGGTTTTACCTCCTTAACTGCAAGAAAAAGAACCCGTCAACGGAGACGTTCTGCCGGATCGAGCCACCTCGCATCACCCAGGACGTCACACTGATATATCTTAAACGACTCATAATGAATCCGATGAAACTCGACCTTACAATTTGTCAAACAATTTAATGTTTACTTGGAAAATGATGTAACGCGACTCAACTAGCACGGTTACGTCTGGTTTTCTGTGCACGATCGATAATGCGTCGTCGGTCTTCCCGGGCGCTCAATAACAATAACGAATCGCGGCTCGACAATTTTTGTCGATAAATATTATGTAATCGTAAATTGAAAAACGAAACTCGTTGA